CTTGCTGATCTTCATCCGCTGGCACGTGTCGCATGAGGTTACGAACTGCTGCACGTCTGCTGCCATCCCGGGCCAGTAGTAATACTTCGCTATTCCCGCTAACGTTTTGTTGCTCCCGAAGTGTCCCACGTATGGTACGTCATGAAACTCCTCCAATAGGATCCGTTGTAGTAGTTGGCGAAGCGTAGGAACTGCTGCAACTCCTTCACGTTCTCCGGTACTTTCCATTTCTTGACGGCTTCGATCTTCCGCGGGTCCACGTGTACGCCCTCGGCACTCACCATGTGCCCGAGAAACTGCACCTTCTTCAGTGCAAAGTCGCTCTTCGACAGCTTTAAGTAGAACTTGTTTTTCCGCAGGATCTCGAACACCTTCCGCAGATGCTCCACGTGCTCATTCATATTCTTGGAGTAGATGAGAATGTCGTCCAGGTACACCACTACGCACTCGTCCAGCAGGGGCCGTAGGATGTGATTCATCTCCGCCTGAAACGTTGCTGGTGCGTTGCAGAGTCCGAACGGCATCACCAAGTATTCGTAGGAGCCGTATCTGGTACGGAACGTCGTCTTGTGGATCGAGTTGTCCGCCATTTTGATCTGGTTCCTCCATGATCTCGTGCTCATGGGTGCGTGCTGGAGGTACGCCTGCGGGTAGGTCGTCGGGCATTATATCCTTGTACTGCTCCAAGACCTCCTTCGCTGCTGCAGGTAGCTCCGAACTCGGCTTCTCCTCCTCTGCTGCTGCGATAACCAGTGCTAAGTAACCCGTGTTACTCTTGTTCACCGTCCGTTCGAACCGTGCTAGTGTCGTTTCAGGAACGCTCCCTCTATCCGTCCAGCTTCGCAGCTCCACTCGTTTCCCGTTGTTGTAAATGCACGCCTTCATGTTGACCCAGTCGATCTCGGGGTTGAACCGCTTCAAGAAATCTCGCCCCAAGATGAAATCTGATCCCTTGATGTTCGTGATCGGCAACGTCGACTTCCACCTCAGCGCCCATATGTGCAGCTGCAGTGATGCTTCGCCGTGGATGGGAAGTTTTGTACCGTCCACCATCGTTGCCGTGAACTTGGTCTCCTCCGAAGATTCTCCAATTTTCTCCAACGTCCCGCGGTCGCACACCGAGTGGGACGCACCACTGTCCACCAGTGCCTGGAGGCGTCGCCCGTTGCAGATCACCTCGAGTAGTAGTGGTTGTTGCTGCTCCGAGTAACCGTAGATGGTCTCGCTTATAGGATCGTAGGGTACGTCGAATAGATCATCCCTCGGTCCTGCGCTCGAAGCTGCTGACTCCATATCAGTTTTCAACTGAGTTGGGTTAGAAGGATTTATCCGAGGCCGATTCAGCTTCGTCTTGGCCTGGAACCTTCTCTTAAGCCTTTGCAGCTGTGTAGGCTTCTCCTATGGGCAATGGGGTGTTGGATGCACGTCATTCTGAGTGCATGTCATCCTAACGTCTTGCCGAGTGCTCGTGCTATTTGTGCTTGCATGATTTGCATGAGCATATGTCATTGTGCATGGCTGTTGGATATTATCATCTCTGTGTTTTTCTCCAAGTCTAAATGCTTGATCATGCAGGAGAAATCCAGAGCTTTCCAACGATACCAAGATCGCCTTATTCCTACCAAGATCGCCCAAGTTACAAGATTTCCAAGACTTGGATTTCTTATTACCTTTTGGGGTTATATCTAATTTGGGTGATTACTTGGGACATGACTATAAAGGGATCTTTGGTTGGGTGGTTAGGGAAGGCAACTTTGACTTTTGGATTGGGGTGGCTAGAAGTTTCTAGCATGGGTTGCAAATGTTGCAACACCTAGGCAAAATCCAACTAGATTGGATTTTGCATGTGACACCTCAAGGACTTCATGATGAGGGTTGCATCCTTGCTGCTAGGAAGGTTCCTACCATCCTTCCCTAGCTCTTGGAGAACCCCTTCCCTCTCATGGTTCTCTTGGAGGTTCCCAACTCCAACTTCCTATGCCTTAATGCTTGTACTTCCTCCACCATTCTAGTCATGCGGCTGCTGGACGTTTTCATATGGTTCTCACTCTGTAGACCATCTTAACGACTGATTCAACTTGGAGATGGTAGCTAAGCCTAAGGCGCAACTTCCTACCGAGCGGATTTGCGTTTAGTTGAGAAATCAGTTCGTCGTAAGTTCTCAAAGTGACGGATCCTGAACAACATGGGGAGCCTTAACACTATGCTGCGGGGAGAGAATATTAACTCCTTGGAACGCACGACCCTTTTCAACGCTCCAGAGTGGTTTGCCCAACTTCTCAGGTACCTGAATAATGTCTGAAGGCTTTTTCTTGGCCTCGAAATCTCCCCTGGAATTTTTAAAGGCTTGAAAACCTCGAGAGGGAATATTCTTAGTCTCGGGGGTGTTCGGCTGGAGTTTCCCGATCGGTGCAGAGTCTTGTTTCGCGGAGCCTCCATTTGTCTCGGCGATTTCCCCTGTTGCCGGCCGGTCGTGGCGTTTTAAATTCGCGCCATCGTGTCCTCCTTTTTTCGCCATCGTGGATGTCGCACTGTTGTTGCCCTGCAGCTCTGCTCGTGCCTTCTTCATTTTCCAACACGCCAAGAATCGATGTCCTACTGCGCCACAAAATTCGCAGTTCTCATATTTTGTCGGCCGCTGCTTCGCGTCGATCTTGTCGATATCCATCGGGTTGGCGGTCGTGGGTGGTGCCGATCGCTTTGTGTCGAATAATCTATTCGGCACGTGGCGTCGTGTCTCGGGTTCACATCGCATAAGCGCATCGAATCTCTCAGCTGCACACACCATGTCGTGGTAGTTGTTGTAGTTCGCGGCAATCACCTGTTGCCGGACATCCGTTTTTAGCCCCTCAGTATACGCTTGGATTTTTTCCCCTTCGGTCAGGTCGGTAATTCGGTTGAAGAGGCTCTCCATCTGCTGCGTGTACTGTGTTACACTGCCGAACTGTTTATGCAGATGAATCTACTGCCGCGCCATGTAGCTGGAGTTGATTAGTTCGAAACGTTGAATTAAAGCTTCCCGAAATTGCGTCCATGACCCCTCGCCTCGGATCTTATTGCTGTTGTAAATCCACTCGAGCGCCGAGCCTCGTAACAGTGTCGCTGCGAGCCGAATCCGCATTGCATCGTGTGTCGGGGTCGTACAGCCAACGGCCTCGAAGTTAATTTCGAGGGTTGGAATGAATCGACGGACGTCGGTGTCCCTCGCATTCGGATTGAACTTTTCCGGTAGCTTCGGACGTGCCACCTCAAGATTCACTGTAGCCGCTGCCGCTGCTGCTGGGTGAAGTGTAGGTGTCGCCGGTGCTGCTGCTGTCGTCGCTGCTGCTAGATATAGCATAATAAAGTCTAGGCAAGCTAGCAAAGCCAGCATAAGCCGTCGTACTCTCACACTGCACATGTGCCGGGTCACGTGGCTGAGCTTGTCTGGGCCTATTACCAAGCCGGCAAGGGCGTGGGAGGGTTGCGAGCATCATCGGTCAAGAGCGCCCGCTGCACTTCCTGCACATGTGCGGATCCTTCCGCGTTTGGGGGTGAAAGCGCTCGTTCCAAGCGTTTTCCTTCCGCTGGGTCACGTTGCTGCACTTGTCTGGGCCTATTACCAAGCCAGCAATGGCTTGGGAGGGTTGCGAGCATCATCGGTCATCGGCGCTCGCGAATGAAGAGCGCCCGCTGCAATTTCTGCACATGTGCGGATCCTTCCGCGTTTTGGGGGTGGAAGTGCTCGTTCTGAGCGTTTTTATTCTGCCGGGTCACGTGGCTGCGTTTCTCTGATCTTATTACCAAGCCAGCAAGGGTGTGGGACGGTTGTGAGCATCATCGGTCATCGGCGCTAGTGAATGAAGAGCGCCTGCTGCACTTCGTGCACATGTGTGGTTCCTTCCGCGTTTTGGGGGTGGAAGCGCTCGTTCCAAGCGTTTTTTCTTCCGCCGGGTCACGTGGCTGCGCTTGTCTGGGCCTATTACCAAGCCATCAAGGGCGTGGGAGGGTTGCAAGCATCATCGGTCATCGGCGCTCGCGAATGAAGAGCGTCCGATGCACTTTTACCAACCACCCTAATCAGTGCATCACTTTGATCGGCCATACGAGCTGGATGCCCTTTGCATAAGGTTAGTTCACTAAGTTACACTTTTTTCTACCTACTGGCTTTTGTGATTCCGTTTCGTTCCATATATTTTGCAAGATATGAGCGTTTCAACTCTGCTTGGTACGCTCTCTACGTGTGTGCATAACGACCACCCTGATCAATACATCACTTTAAACGGCCATATGAGCTGGATGTCCTTCGCATTAGGTTATTTCATTGGATTAGACTATTTTCCGCCTTTGTGATTCCATTTCGTTCCATCTCTTTTGCAAGATATGAGCGTTCCAACTCTGCCAGGTACGCTCCCGACATGTGCGCATACCGTACCGACCACCCTGATCAATACATCACTTTGATCGTCCATACGAAGTGGATGCCCTTTGCATTAGGTTAGTTCACTAGATTAGACTGTTTTCTACCTACTAGCCATTGTGATTCCTTCCATATATTTTGCAAGTTATGAGCGTTCCAACTCTGTCTGGTACGCTCCCTACATGTGCGCATACGCGGATATTTTCTCCCGGATATCATCTCTCGGATATCCTCTCCCGGCAGGGCTGACTATTAAAAAAAAACCAGTCTGATATTCTGGGGGGTCCAAAAAAAAATAGTCTGAGGCGTATTTCTGGAAAAAAAAGGCACTCTGATTTCTCAGGTTCCACAAAGTCATAAGTCTGAAGTATTCTGAGTTCCATTGTTGAAATCAGACTTACCGTTGCCTAATGCTAGTTTATTGCATAGAGTTATTTGAAGAGACTAAACTACGGGCCATTAACAACATTGATAACCTACCTACCTATTTACCATCCTTCCTCCTACCTACCTATCTTCCTATCCTATTAACTCGATACAATACCTTGTAGTGTCTAATCTAACCAACATGTCAGGTCAGCAGAGCAGCGTACATTCTAGTCTAGAGCTCTGGAACAGCCATCTCGATCCTGTCATCGCCATCGTCGGCTTCATCTCCCTCGTTCTCCGAAAGGAACGGGTTGTCTGAGGCATCCTCCTGGCCTGCACCCGCAAACCCCTCCTCACCGTCCTGATCTGAATCCTGCTCCTCCCCCCACTCACACACGCGGTCCTCTTTCTCCTGCACCTCATCTTCAGAGAGCTCTTTCTCCTTGCGCTTCCTCTCAGCTGCTGCAAAAACTGGTGCCTTGGCAGGGCGCCTGGGCTTCTCTCGCCACTTGGCAAGAGCTGCGTCCCAGTCGATCTCGTAGTCCAGCAGCGATATGGCCATCAGCTCCGCAAGTCGTGCGTTGCCCAGAGCGCCCCGCACCCAGGATTTGATCACGTTTTGGCGTGAAAATCCTCGCTCGCACTCGACCGTCGACAGGGGCATCACCGCGGTCGCTTGCCACATCCGCATGATGTTGGGCCAGCGTCTGAAATTAGACACGCACGGAGGAAACAGACATTACAAATGGCATGTTAAAGCACATCTATGGGAGCGGCAGCCAATGGCGAAACAACGAATAGACGCACCTGGAGGCCTCGGTTGTGTTCATGAGTTGCGCAGACCCTGGAAAAAGCCCTCATCCTCATGGTGCGCCTCCATGATTGGCGCCCACGTCTGAAGCTCCCTCTCGGCAGCAGTCATGTCGAAGCCCGGGAGTTTGTCGCCAAAAATAGCACTGCATCCGTGAAGGTACTCCCGGACCTTCCTGTCGCGCTGCTGCCGTTGCTTCGGCCACTTGGAAGCTCGGAACAGCTTCGTGGGTGCCAGCTTCCTGAGATCGGAGAGGCGGAAGTTAAGCCTGGTCACACATTCCTGTGCAAACTTGGTGCACAGCTTCTCGCACTCCTTGTACGTGCTGCCGTACACATGCCCTTTCAGGTGTCGCTCGTGCAGTTTGTAGACGCAGGAAACGGGATGTCCTTCAGTGTCCACGCCGCGCACCCGCACCTTTTTCCCCCCACCCCGCCCGTACAGCGTTAGAAACTCCGACAGCACAGGGCTCTCGCCAGCTCCGAAGATGTCCTCGCACTCAAGGTAGCACCGGCGCATGTCTCCCGTAGCCTCGTCAATGTCTTTGGCTATCTCTGTCACATCCACCTGCAGCAAGTCGTGACAGGGGCAAAGGAGAACGTTAGTGATTGTGAGTTAAAAATACACGAATTCTGAACGGACGGGTTGAAATACAACATGCTCACCTCTTTCTTCTGGAACTTGAGGTTGAGCTCGTTCATGATGGCGAGGACGTCCGCAAGGAAGAAAAGACAAAACTGAAACTTGTACGATATGACTGTCTCGTACAGCTTGTGCTTGCTCTCAGCCAGAAGAACAATCGAGGCGCCGAGCACCCTGCACAACCGACGCACAGCCTCCCCGCGTGACAACCATCTGACGGTGTGAATGCCTTGGACCTCTAAATTAGTCTTGCAGATTGTCTTCTGGAGGTACTGAAAGCGCTGGCTCGCGTTGCTAGAGTTCGACAATAACGCGGCCAGTGTCCTGATGACCTTGTCTACCATCTCCATGTCAGGACATGCTAAGGCAGCATCCTTGACCGCCAGCGCTTCTCTGCACGAACCCACGAATAACAAAACCGTAAACAGCTAGAGCACGTATTGCGAGAACACAAATCAAATACACAACATTTCATACCTGTGAGCGATGCAGTGCGCTGACACGAGGTGCGGGATGTGCTCGCGAAGTCGAGTGACAAGGCCGTTATCACAGCCCACCATCACGTTGGCGCCGTCGGTGCTTATCGCACAGATGCGCTGCAATTCTACCCCGACAGTCTGCAGATGACTCTGAATAACAGACAAGAGCGAAGCAGCATCACATTTCTCGACCGGGAGATGAGCAAAAAACTCTGTGACAGGGCGGTTGTATCGCAGGAAGGTGAGATAGACGATGAGGTGTTTCCCGCGTGTGCGATCAGTGCTCTCGTCCGTGCTGATGCCCAAGAACGGGGAAGCTAGGATGTGCCGCATCTGCGTCGCCTGCAGAACTGTAGCGACGCAGTGTACAAGTTCTTGGAACCCATACCTGCAGTAACAACACATTGAAAAGCAAAGCCAGAGTTAGCCAAATGAACCTCTCCCGTGAAATCCAAAACAAAAATGGTTAGCCATCAAAACCTCACCGTGTAAGGTACACGCCGTACGACTGTTGAGGGAGGTCTGGCGTCTCCTGCTCAGCCAAGAAACGCACAAGCCGCGGATACATGGAAATCGGTGCGTCAACCTTACAGATGAAGTTCGTCGTGCGCATCAGCCGAATCACCCTGCGGCCCTCCACGTCCCTCCTCGTGAATCCGTCCAGCCGCTTTTGTTTGCCCTCGACCGCTTCACTGATCTCCAGCTGCCGCTCAACAGCTTCTTGGTGGACGGTCGAGTGCTCATGTATCCGCATGGTCTGAGTCAGCAAGTCGCGCGCGCCATCGCCGGGGTTAGAGTACTTCGTGGTCTCCTTCCCGAACGCCCGGCAGATGGCGCACTTGAGCGAAGGGTGCCCATCCTTGGCTCGGACGAGGAGCAGCCACGGAAAGAGCGGTCGCCACTTGGCTTTGTAGTTAGCTTCCGCCAGCAGCCACTTCTGTTCGATCTTCTCCTTGGCCGACAGTTTGATCGGTACCGGCGCTTCAGGTGAGGAGGCAGCAGGCGGTGAGGGAGGTGGTGGTGGCCTCTTAAACCTACCGCCAAGGCTCATGGTGCTCTGTACCCATTTCTGCGTACGCGGTTTTTTCGATGCTGACTGGACTAATGCAGAGGGCACGCTGTAACGCACAGTTGATTTTGTTTTCAGGGTCTGGGAGATGACTGGTCCCTTGCTAGATGATGCCACTGCGGGAGGTAATTGGTACTCCGTCACAGGTGGAGCAGGAATAGGAGTGGGCGCTGGTGGATTACGGGCTACTGCCTTTACTACGGCAGGGCGTAGGAAGTCGAGCCCCGACTTGGGGACATCCTTCGAACTAGGGTGGTCAGCATCAGCAGACAAGGGCTCCCCCACACCATGTCCTGTCATGTCTTACAAACTAGTGAAAACTGACTAGCACGACAAAGGCCACATACAGGGGAAGAGAGGCAGCCGAGCTTATGGAAGGCTTCTGAACTGAGCGGTGGGGGAGAAACCCCACCGCCGTCCAGATGCATCCGGGACACCAAGATGCATGGATTGCTTCTGCCGTGGGTGGTGTCGAACCGCCATGCTCGTCACCATCCCGCCGCTGCTACCCAGCACAGCCACGAAGGAACCGCATAAGGGGAGGCGCTAACGACTTTGCTGATACAGCATTGGGTTCCTTTGGCTGACACTGCGTGGGAGCCAGCGATGGTCCCACGTGAAAGAAACAGCGAGCCAACTGGGCAGAATGCTAAGGGGATGGGTGGCAAATCTGCCCAGTACAGATTTTGCGCGTGACAGCGCGGTGAAGTGTTCTTGTACACTGGCAACATATGACGTTGCAGAAGCTACGTAGAAAGTACATAACCGCATTTCAGGATCCGTACTCCCTGTAGTCTGAAGACCCAGTATCCGCAAAGTGACTACTCTGAAATTCTCAGTACTCAGAAACAAGTAAGTCTGAAGCACTCATGTTTGGAAATTGAACAACTCTGAAAAATCAGGATCAGTAGGAAAATAGTCTGAGATTTCAGACAATCAGACTATTTTAGTCTGATAAAATCAGCCCTGTCTCCCGGATATCCTCTCCCGGATATCATCTCCCAGATATCCTCTCCCGGATATCATCGCCCGGATATCCTCTCCCGGATATCCTCTCCCGGATATCCTCTCCCGGATATCATCTCCCGGATATCATCTCCCGGATATCATCTCCCGGATATCCTCGCCCGGATATCCTCTCCCGGATATCCTCTCCCGGATATCCTCTCCCGAGCATCCTCTCCCGGATATCCTCTCCCGGATATCCTCTCCCGGATATCAAATTCCGGATATCATCTCGCAAATATCATATCCTGTCTCCCGAATATCATCTCCTGAATATCATCTCCTGAATATCAACTCAGGATAGCGTCCCCCAGGTATCCTCTCCCGGATATCCTCTCCCGCATATCCTCTCCCGGATATCATCGCCCGGATATCACGCCCGGATATCCTCTCCCGGATATCCTCTCCCGGATATCCTCTCCCGGATATCCTCTCCCGGATATCCTCTCCCGGATATCCTCTCCCGGATAACTTCTCCCGGATATTCTCTCCCGGATATCATCTCCCGCCGTGAAGCCATGTCCTCAACACCTGTTAAGCACAGCCGCACTGTCGTTCGTCTACTATAGCTTCATTGATGCTTGGTGGCTTGCTCCCCAACCTCAAGGAGCTGGGAACATGTCTCACCAGCCGGACTACAGAGTGAAGTTTGATCAAGTTCCACCAGCCCCAACATAACATACCCTGCTATTTGGGTACGGTAAGTTCTAAGGCTTTGAGATATGATGTATTGTTCCTGATGTGGCTTTGGTTTGCACAACAAGCTGTATACAGCCAATTCATACATGTCGGAAGATGACACGGGCTGTGTTGCAGGAAGACGAAGTCAGGGATGCACACGGAGATGGTGTGACACTGCAGCAAAGAAGGTAGAGGAGCAGTGGAGTTGGTGATGGTGGTTTCCCCCACACCAGCCGACCACCGCTTCCATCAGCACTGCATCAAGCAAGGTATAGGGCACCTAGACAGGCCATGGAAGTAGGTTCCTCCAGATATTCCTTGGGTGAGCCTCTGACTATTCTGGTGCGCTATGCAAGAGCCAGGAGCCTTCTCGCTGCAGCACAAGCAGGCAAAGGAGCGCCGCACAGTCCCGTGTTTCCAGGAGTGAAGGACGCCACGGGGAAGGCAGCCCACTGGGAGGGAAGCGGGCCAGACAGGTCGTTGCCTTGCACATGCACCTCGTGCAGCCCGTCTAGCTGGCCCAGCGCGGCGGGGATGGCGCCCTGCAGCTGGTTGAAGGCGAGGTCCAGCACCTCCATGCTGCGCATGCCCGCCAGCGACGCAGGGATGCCGCCCGACAGGTTGTTGTGCGCCAGTGAGAAGTTGCGCACCTCGGCCAGGTGGCCCAGCGCGGCGGGGATGGCGCCGGAGAAGGAGTTGTTGGAGAGGTCCAGCTGGTACAGCGTGTCCTTGCAGCCGGCGAGCGCGGCGGGGATGGCGCCGTGCAGCTGGTTGCCGCCCAGGTAGAGCGCCATCAGCCCCTGCTTCGCACAGCTAAACGCCGAGGACAGCTTGCCTGGCGTGTGGGGCGGGTGGAGGGTGTGGGCGGTGGAAGGGAAGGAGGGGAGAAAGGAGGACGGGAAGTGAGGGGGGAGAAGGACTAAGGGGATTGAGAGAAGGAGTGAACAGAAAGGACTGTTGGAGTTGTGGGTGGGGAGGGAAAGAGAGCAAAGGGGTAGACGGCGCAAGTGGGAGATGTACAACTGACGTATGGGAAGGAAGTGAAGAGAAGGGACAAGGGGATGGGGAAAGATTCCTAACCTGTGAGTCGGTTTCCGTCGAAGAGGATGCTCCCAAGGCTCGGCGCGTTTGCGAGGGCGGACGGCAGAGAGCCCGTGAGCTGGTTGTTGGAGGCGCCGATCTGCTGCAGCTTGGGCAGCGACCCGAACGCGGGCGAGATGCCCCCCGTGAACTCGTTATCGGATAGCTCGATGTAGATGGCTTCTGTCAGAGTAGCGAAGCGGGAAATGCTGCCTGTGAACGCGTTTATGCCCAAATCGAGGACTTGAAGGGTGTCTGATAGGCCCGTGAAGAAAGTCGAAGGGATGTGGCCCGATAAGCCGCAGTCCGCCATAATAAGTGCTTGTATCGAGTCAAGATTATCAAAGCTGCCGGGAATTCCACCACTGAACTGGTTCACTGTTATATCGAGGTACTCTAAACGGGGGAGGCGGCCGAGGGCGGAAGGAAGCGCGCCGGAGAACTTGTTGGCGCGGAGGTCGAGCGACACGAGCGACGACATGGCGGATACGGTGCTTGGGATCGGCCCCGACATGCTGTTCACCCCCACGGACAGGGATGTCAGGGCAGTTGCGAAACGAAAAACATTTCCGGGCAGACCGCCAGTCAGTTGGTTGTCGCTGACGTCAATCAACTCAAGGTCGGGCAGTTTTAAAATCTGTGAGGGCAAGCTACCGGTCAGGAGGTTCGAGAAGAGGGAGAGGGAGTGGAGGCCGACGAGTGCTGACATAATCTCTTTCAACTGCCCTGTCAGCCTGTTCTGCGCCAAGTTCAGCACGCTTAGTTTCGTCAGGAGGCTAAGTTCGTCGGGAATGTCGCCCGAAAACTGGTTACCATCCAGCTCCAGCCGCTCCAATTGATCCAGACTCCCGAGATCCGATGTGAGCTGTCCCTCTATAAACGTCTGCGACAGCGAGATCGAAGTGACGCGGTCCGGCTCCTTCCCATTGCAAGACACGCCATTAAACGCACAAGCGGTGGGGCCGTCGATCCACGTGTCAAGCGCACCGAGCGAGTCGTTGGTGACGGCGGCCTTGAATGCGAGAAGCGCGGCGACGTCTTCGGCGGGAGTGCCGGCAGCGACCGCGGGGAGAAAAGCGGCGACAGCGCAAAGAATCGCGGCGCAAAGACGGGGGAGTGCAATGAGGGGAGCGTGAGGGCGCGGCATGGCGGCGCAGGAGGAGGCGGAAAGGGCAGATGGTCGTGCTCCGCACGCACACCCAGCACGGCCGTAGCAGAGCGCTCAGTCAGGTAAACAATGCCGAGGGCGGCAATGCCCCGATGATGCCGTGAGCACGCTAAAGGGCGAGGAGCTGGAAGGCCGCAGGGCTTTAATGAGAATGTTTCTGAGTCGACTCAAAGAAGGTAGGTAAGAAGAGCACTGCAGAGTGGAAGCGACGAAAAGAACGGGCACTCAAGAAGATGAGCGGCGTGGTTGAAGGAATGGAGATGGATGAGGTGGGGATTAATGTGATAGTGTAAGAGACAGCGAACTACGCGACGATACGGCAAGTAGAAACGAGCCTTGCGGGTAAAAGGTCCCGACGACTCGAAAGGCGCTGCCTTGTGCTAATAATAGTAGAGGCTGCGGCCGGCCTAGATGATACTCGGAAAAAATGGCGAAGGAATCCCAAAAAAAACCCTTTAGGGACGGTGAGAAGGATGGCGATAGGATGGCCAAAGTATAAGGCAGCGAAAGACACCTGGCAGGAGAGTAGGCAACAACTGCAGTGCGGCTCATCTCTGACTGGGAAACGAACGTCGGCTTTGTCGAAGATTTGTTTGTTTCTACGGTCACGATCGGCCAGATTGGAAAAGTTGGACGATCTCGCCGTAAAACTCTACCACTGCCCCAAAGCTGGGATCCTTTCCTACAGGTATACTGGTGGGGCTCGTAAGGGCGTGTTAAATCGCAAACTCCAAAAAATCTGCCACAATCCGTCGGGCCGTTTTTGCAAATGTAACCAGATTGCGACAATCGTAAGTCAAGTGGCGACCGTCGCAAATTTCGTAAAAAAATAATGAATTTGATGGCCGTTTAAAAAGTCGACACGAAAACGACGCCGAGTCGACTCCAAAACGGCCAAGTAGTCGACACAGTGTGCGACAAACGCCTGCGACGTCGTATGGTGTCGCCCAACGACAGAATTTGTGATCGCGACAAATGAGAAATATCGCCGTCAAAAGTGCGACCCCGTCGCACATACCAAACTACTGTAGTAACTGCAAATTTAACA